TATATATATATATATATATATATATATATATATATATATATATATATATATATATATATATATATGTATATATATATGTATATACACACTGTACAGACCAAAAGTTTGGACACACTTTCTCATTCAAAGAGTTTCCTTTATTTTCATGACTAGTATTCTGATATGTAAATTGCAGATTCATCATGAAGGCATCAAAACTATGAGTGAACGCATGTGGAATTAAATACTTAACAAAAGAGTGTGAAACAACTAAAAATATGTCTTATATTCTTGGTTCTTCAAAGCAGCCACCTTTAGCTTTGATTACTGCTTCACACTGTCGTGGAAACTGTTCTCCCTACGACTTAAAATTGAAGCTAAGTCTTATAAAAATTCAAAGTTCTCAAAAAGCTGTAGAAAAAGTCTTCAAACTATGATTAAAAATTAGGCAGAGGCAACTGAGTCCAGGTCCGGAGAATTTTATTTACAGAACACACATGAGCTGTTCACCGGTGAGCAACTGACTTACATGCAGAAAAGGGCCCTCTTTTATTCACTCCCGGGGCTCGGGGCTCTTTCATCTTGGTGGAAGACCCACCTTCAAACCATATTTTATATTTTTAATTGAAGCCTTTCTTTGATCTATCAAAGCTTTTTCTTCACAAGTCATGGTGACATTTCTTGTAGATCATGATGACATTTAGTGCAGTTAAATCAAAAACACATCATAGTCTTAATCATCAATATGTCAAAACAATGTTTTCATCCAGTGTGACTTATGATCATAACATTACATCAAAAAAGGTCAGCATTAGTTTAAAACTCAAGGTCCCAGTAAAACATCCCTTTTTGTGCGACCAGTACTGCACCGCATGCTTTGGAGATGACAACTCAATATATTACAATTAGTTCAGCTTAGCTGTGCAACCCTGAACAACCCATTCTCAATGCGTCTGTCTTACAAACAGGTCTCATTTCTGCACCCTGGTTTTCAAAGGCCTCAAATGGTCTTGGACTCCCTTCAATGCTCCTGTTCTCCCGCTCATTCTCTGTGTTTTCCCACCCTGGTCTTATCTCTGAGACTTCAAGGCTGCGCTCCAAAGCTGCAGCTGCAGAGAGCCTTTACACACACACTGCTCTCTATCTCTCCACATTTGGTGGCGCACACTCTTTTGGACTCTGTGACCTGTATAACATAAATGTATTTAGTGTAAAACATTTATTCAATATGTAAAACATGTATCCAATATATTCTAATCATTGGTGCAGATTAATTTACTTCATCAACACACTCTTGGCATTCTCTTGAGGAGCTTCCAGAGGTCGTCACCTGAAATGTTTTTCACTTCACAGGTGTCCCCTGTAAGGTTTAATAAGTGGGATTTCTTGCCTTATAAATGGGGTTGGGAGCATCAGTTGTGTTTAGCAGAAGTCAGGCAGATCCACAGCTGATAGTCCTGCTGAATGGACTGTTAGAATTTGTATTATGGCAAGAAAATAGCAGCTAAGTAAAGAAAAACGAGCGGCTATCATTACTTTAAGAAATGAAGGTCAATCAGTCCAAAAAATTGAAAAACGTTGAAAGCGTCCCCAAGTGCAGTCGCAAAAACCATCAAGCACTACAAAGGAACTGGCTGAGATGAAGACTACCCCGGGAAAGGAAGACCAAGATTCACCTCTGCTGCGGAGGAGAAGTTCATCTGAGTCACCAGCCTCAGAAATCAGGGGTTAACAGCAGCACAGATTAAAGAGCAGGTCAGTGCCACACCCAGTTCTAACAGCAGACACATCTCTAGAACAACTGCTAAGAGGAGACTGTGTGAATCAGGCCTTCATGGTAGAAGAGCTGCTAGGAAACCACTGCTAAGGTCAGGCAACAAGCAGAGAGACTTCTACTTCTGCTACTCTCAACCAGAGATGACATTCCTTATGTGAGTTTTGCGTCTTACATTCCACTCGAATCCTCCGACAGCAATGCCCCCAGCTGCTCCCGTTCCTGCGAGTCCAATGAACAATCCGCTGCCAACGTTACTTGACATCAAGGAAGCTCCTATCTGACAATGAAAATAAACAGAGAGGGAAAAATCTGTTTCTATAACTGATGAATTTAGTCTTTTATCAGATGGTCTCTCCAAACACACTAAAAACTCCTGGAGGTCAAATTCTGATGGAGCTTGGAGAGATTTGGTCTGATAGGAATAATAACCAAGCTTCCTAATAACTGAAGATCCTTTTAAAAAAAGAGACTCATTTTGAAGAAACAAACTTTCAGGATTAATAATTCCTCCAAATATACACGGAAAGCCACCTAATTGAACAGTGACATCATGGCCATCCATGTAAACTGTGTATATCATGCAATTAGCACAATCCTTTAAAAAACAATCAGTACATTAAAGGAGTGATAGAAATTCACCAGTCTGTGGCTTAGCAGCCACAGATAGAAACAGCCTTATTACTTTAACAATGTAAAACAACAGTAAAGAACTTTTACTGCTTAATGTAAACACTTAAATTTGCATGAAAATGTTTTACTTACTGGCCACCATGTCATGGAACGACCAGCCAAAAAATATCCCCCCACTGTGGTCTGGTTCGCTCGCATTGATGACTGTTGAACAAAAAGGTAGGCATTAGGTCATGATGCATGGAAACCAAAAAAAAACAAAAAACTTTATGTTTACACACTCTCATCATTAACAGCAGAATATATTTGGGCACTTAATAAATTGTTTAAATCATCATTTGTATCCAGGGTTCAGGTATTATAAATAGATCTTTCAATCAATCCCTTTGTTATCAACTACAATTCACATTGTAATCAAGATTTGAGTTTCTGTACAAACCATTCATCACATACATTGGGGTGGGGGGGCTGACAGGGGGAATGAGTTACTGAGGCCATGCGTGCAGCATGGGGGGCAATCCAGAATAACACTTATTGTTTTGAGAGCAGGCTGCACAGGAATCTCCCATCAGCCTTGGGTCTTTTCTTGCTGGCTCTGCGTGGCGAATCCAATATTCCATTTTTTTGTGTTTTTCCGCCTTGAAGCGAGCGTGCACATCCAGGATATTATCCCATCTCACCTTTGAGTTCAACCACCGCAGCCAGCCTGCGTTCAATCGCACCCAGCATGCGGGTCAGCTCCCGGTCCTGCTCGTTCACAGCCTTTGTGAGCTCATCAACCGCTGCCGGCAGCCTGATCAATGCCCAAACTGTCGCCAACATCCTCTGTAATTGTAGATACAGGTATCCTCCAAATCCCAACAGGAGAAATCCGAGTATCATGAATATGATATCCTCCACTGACAGCATGGTAAACACTCCATCCTCCAAGCCTTCCAGGAGTCCGTGGTGTATCCCACGAGGTATGTCCCAGCAGGACAGGAAGGGTCCCCTTTTCCCTGTCTGCCAGTTAAAAATGTAATCAATTGCATTGAGAGACCAGGTGACCAGATCCATTGTTCGAATTCAAGTGATATGAAGAGAGGGATCAGAAAAGACAAGACCCAGCAAAGCAGGGACAGAGCAGGGAGGACCAGGAGCAGCAGGAAAATGCAACCACCTCCTTCGAGAGTCAGAATGGAAATCCAAGAACTAAGAAATAATTCAGTTGTAAATTAGAGTTGAGTCGACAAGTTTTTAATTTTGTAAATAATTCTTCTTTAGGAAATCGTCTCCAGAGGTTCTAGGGGAGGATCAGAGCTGATCTTCTTGTCATTTATGATGCTGTTATGAGATGACTAATAGAAGATCTGCAGCATCCTGCTAAAAGCACTGAAGGAGCTTTTAGTCATGAGTCCACTTGATTCTGTTGTCCTCCATCACCTCCACTTCTTCCAGGACTGTAACATTGTGTGACTTGTTCCTCTTGTTGGGATATATTGCCACAATATATATACATATCATTCTTTTTGCACAAAGAGAACAAAGAACGTCTGGAAACTTCCGGCCAAAGGCCCAGTCAGCTCACGCATGGACCATTCAGCTGACAAGAAGGCTGAAACCTCAACAGGAAATACTCCTATGTCTTTTCCCTGGGTTTCAACGCCTGCAAGGAGAGACCCGTTTTACGTGAAATGCTAAAGAAAGCTAGCTGGAAGTAGCTTTGGGTTTCCTGCGTCACAGATCGCAGTGTCCCATCGTGCATAGCGCCCGCTGAACATGGTGAGACGTAAATCTCTGAAGCTGAACGCTGTGTGGATTTCCACCCCTTCGTCCTCGCTACGGAAGCCAAGGCCTATCGGCAGGAGGACGCTTCTGCTTTGATAGCCATAAGTAAACCGTCCTCGACCTAAAGCCCATCAAGTTCCTCTGCTGTAGCATCAAACTGACTTAAAACTCTTCGGAGAACGGATCCCCGGTGATGCGGGGTCCCTGCATCAAGCACCCACAGGAACCATCCAGAGGTGAAAGGCATAAACCCTGGTAAGTGAGCAAATTAAAGCTACAATTATTCAACTAAGAACCCTAAACTGATTTCACCTCCGATTTTGAATAAGTTAAATAATAGACTATAACTCTAGTTCTAGTTAATCATTCATTAATTATCTGCAGGATATCATTTTGCACAACACTCTTTCTCTTGAAATCACCTCAAAACAACAGGATCATCCGAGTATCTCTGCAGAACAGAAATCTGTGCTGAAACTGAAGGTCTGCAGGGCAAAAAGGAATGTTCAGGTTCCCCTGTGGTGTACCTGTGCTGCTGTCTAGTATGTCACACCCCCTCATGACATCGATGTCTCCTCTGTTTGGCTTGGACAGTGTGTCCTAGTCTGTAGCCTCAACACAAACCTTTCAGAGCCCTTCAGGTTCATCTTCTAAACCTCTTCTAACGACTCTCTTTACTGCAGTTTTTCTCTGATTAACCGACTTCTATTATAAACAGCAAAACAATAAAATTGTGATCTGATTTGCCAATAGTACTAACAACAGCAGATACTGGAATGTTAACAGGTCCTAAAAGACAGAGACCAGACTTCCCAGGAATATGTCCAGAATTATAACCCCATTGGTTCACAAGCAACAATAATCCACCTCTGATTTTGCTGTTGTTCCATAAATCTCTGTCTTTTCAAACAGTCAGAAAAGTGGCCATAAGAACACCTCAGAGATTATCCTGCAGCCATGTTTCAGTTAAACACATTATACTGCATTTTTTAAAAATTCTGCCTTTGTCCTTTCTTGGACTTGGAGTTCATCCAACCGACACATCTCACATTGCCTAAGCAATTTATTGGATTTTACTTTTCTCTTCGCTCCTATGCTGCATATTCAGCTCCACAGTTTAAAGTTAGGATGATGTTGAAATGTTTCACTTATTTGAGATATGAATCATCTGCTGCTGGTTATAAATGAAACTAACTGGTTTTAATGTCACGCAGCATAACACATGTGCTAAATTAAAAAGATAAAAATAACTTCAGGTGCACAGCAGCCAACATCAAAGGAGAAAAGAATCCAAAAAAAAGGATGAACTCAACTTCTTTAATACATTCACAATGTAAAAACTGTCCAAAAACAAGTTAAAAAAATGCCTTTATCCTTCATTTGAGCAGGTAAATACGATGATCTGTGCATTTTCTTATTTCATTGGCAAATAGTCTCACTTGTCTGTTTAACACATTAACTGCCTTGTCAAATTGCAACCTGTATTAATGCTGAGTAAATGGGGAACCATTGGGTTGCAGTGTGTTAGCATTTTACAAACTTTAATCTTAATAAAGATAAATGTATCTTAGCAAAGTTATTATTATCATTTGTTCTTTTCCTACTCAGCCAGTGTTCTGTTTATAAATGCACCATATGTAATGATCCAGTCAGAAGACCCAAAGTTTCAGCCAGAACACAGAATAAGGATTTAAACAGTTTATTAAAAACTCAGGACATCAGGAGCACATCCACCGTGGGTCAGGGATTTCTTAAAAGAGTCCTCCCTTCAGCAGCATGAATAGAGCAGATTTCTCCTTAAAACTGTTGTTGGGTGGCCAACAGTTGAGTGGCTTGGGGAACAGAGGCAGGACTAGGTCCAGGAAGCCAGACTCAGGGTTTAGTGANTTCTGCATTCTTGGGTCGCTTTAGTGAACCCATCATGACAATTAGTCCCAATGAGCCAGAGCCTCTTCCTGCTCTACAGAAAATATAGGGGTAGGGCTGATAAGTAGGGCTGGGAGGTGTTGTATTTGAATTTGCCTTTTAAATGCTGTGTCATATAACAGACATAATCCTTGTATATCACCCTTTTGTAAAATCTCCTCAGAATTCTGGCTTTGAAGCTTCAGCAGATTGTGAAATTGAAAAACCTGTTGCCTTAATAGCTCCTATTATACCCTTTGGCTCTGACCCTTCAGACTTAACCACTTGCTTTGCTGTTTTAATGTGGAAATGAAATGGTCAACCAAACAAACTTAATTTACGAGTTTGTGTCTTACATCGATTTGTAGATTAAATTGTGCAAAATATAAACAAATAAAACAAAAAAAAACGTAGCGTTGTCTATAATTTCTTGTCAGGGTATTGTAATGATCCAGACAAAAGACCCAAATTTTCAGCCAGAACACACAATAAGGACTTAAACAGTTTATTGAAAACTCAGGACTTCAGGAGCACATCCACCGAGGGCCAGGGATTACTAAGAAGGGAGATTAACGTTAGTGGCTTGAAGGAGATCCAATAGTGAAATCATTGGAAACAACAAAA